TTGAAAAACGTGAAAGAATCTTAGCCAGATCAACGATTAGCAATACACGCACATGATTCATTTGAAAAATATCGTACACGTACTATACTTGGTCTCATTATAGCCTGACGAATCATAAAAGCACTATCCTACCCTGGTATGCTCTGGTCGTCTTATAATATGTGATAAATCATAATACTAACATCTAACCCTAATTAAAGGGCACCTGTTCTAAAAATAGATGTTAAAAATAAGCAACTGTGACAGAATATGCGCATTTTTCCTTTCTTTGTCTGTGTAGCTATGATTCACTATCCCCTGCCGATGATCTGTATAATGCTCCCCATGACCTCCCGAATATGAGGTAATTAGTCCCTATATCATGTGTACCTTATGAGAGAAACATAAAAAAATGGCCATGTAACCTTTATAATTTAATAAAACAGCTCATTATGGAATAGCAACCGCATACGTGTCATAAGTATCACATGTCATTACAGGCGCGTACTTAAACACGATTCTTACCAAAAGACTTTGAAGCAGAACCAGTGGTCCATTTTACAGAACAGTATATTTGGTAATTGTTTGTAAAACTTGACAAAATACAAAAATATATTAAAGGGGTAAGCTTGATTCGCTTTGAATTTCTTCCACGAGTATGGCAGAAAACTAACGTGTGTTATTTCCGTAACGTGACTTGTTGACGACAATGTTAGACGTCATTATGTTTGTCTTTGCGATGTCATATACATGGATTTTGTTTGATGTTCTTCTTTGGGAATTATGGTAGTTCACGTAAATGCAGAAATTTTCAAAATAAGCTCTCTCGCTCCTACCAAGTCAATACAGTCATCTGTAGTCTCCACCGTGCACTTTTGTTTGTTTTTAGTAATCATACCCCTTTTGTTATCTAATACTGTTGTAGTGAAAAACTTTATATAACTAACATTATAAAATAATAAAACACTTAAGTTTCAAAATAAAATTATGGTTATGTACACACCCTTTATCTAGAAAATAATGCATTGCACGTACTTTGCACATGTAACGGTTGTTTAGTTATAAGTCGTCGATTATCCCTACTTTCTTTATCATTAAACACGTGCACTGTTCTGCACGAGTCATGGGGTGCACTAGAGATAGTCGCATCACTGGCGAAGGCCGCGCTATGAGACGTCACTTATAACGAACAAGGGAAAAAGCATGGTCTGATAACATTTTTGGCACAAAAAGCGAAGTATTCTTGCCGTGGTTCTTTTATTGAATTAAATTCACTGTTGTGTAGGTTTAATATTAATAAGAAAAGTGAAATTACCTAGATGTGTATTAAACCATCCATTCGACTCAAAGGAACAGTGTAAGAACGATATGCGACGTAAGGCAAACATCGTTTGTTTGAATACCGTCATAGTCCCATTGTCGATTACAACTTGAACACATTGATGCTATTGTCATGATACATTAAAACTTGTATACGTTCTAAACACGTTGTCATCTGAGAATATCTATATTTAACAGCAAAATAGTTATTGAAAAGATTTGTCAAATGATAAAACATATTGAAAGTGATTGTTGTATAAATGTCAAGGTTTTCAGAACACTGAATTCATTGTACACAACTAACAACGTTTGGCTATTAAATGATTTCACAGTCAGATAAGTTCATAATACTTGAACCTTTTGCATACATACGACTGTTATTGACAGTCTGGTATTGGTTTTATCGGGACAAACAGTGTATGAGGAGATGTATACGAGGAAGGGAGGTTAAAGGGGAGGATGTAAGTTAAAAGGAGGATATAGGAGGATGTAAGTGGGAACAGAGTGTTGAAGGAGGGATGATGAGGATGTAGGTTGGAAAAGAGTGTTGAAGGAGGGATGATGAGGATGTAGGTTGGAAAAGATTACGTAAAAGGCAGAAGGATAATGTAAGATTTAACAGAAGTGTGTAGGAGGGTACAACATTATGTAGGATGGAACAGTGGATGAAAGAGGGAACAGAAGTTTGGAGGAAGGAACAGGGGTAAAGGAAGGAACATAAGGATGTATGAGGAAAAAGGAGGATGTGGGTTCGAAAAGGAGGGAGTTTTAGGAGGGAACAGGAAGTTTGAAGAGGGTACAGAAGGATGTAGGAGGAAACAGGAGGCTGTGGGTTGGTACAGGAGGGTTTAGTAGGGCACAAGAGGGTTAAAGAGGGAATTTTAGGATGTGGGAGGAAACAAGAGGCTGTAAGAAGGAATAGAAGGATGTAGGAGGAAACAGGAGAATGTTGTTTGGAACAGAAGGGAATAGGAGGGAACAGGAAGGTTTATGTTGGAATTTGATGATCTGGGAGGAAACAAGAGAATGTAGGAACAACAGAAGGATGTGGGAGGAAACAGGAGGGTTAAGGAGGGAACAAGAAGGTTTCATAGAGAATTTGAGGATGTAGTTGGGAACAGGAGGGTAAAAGAAAGAAAGAAAACGAAGATGTAGGTAGTGAAGGAGGATGTAGAGAAAGGAACAGGAGAGTGGAGGAAGGAGTGGGAGGGTGAAGGAAAGAAGAGGAGGAGGTGGAGAGGGATAGAAAGGTGTAGGAAAGTGTTAAAGCTTGAGGGGACAGGAGGGTTTTGCGAGGGGATTGAGGGGACCTTCTTCCTGTCCCGGGTCCAAGTTATTGTTGGCCACACCGCGTACATACCTATTTTACGATAGAGCGCAGTGATAAAATTACGTTTCACGGTAATAAAGACATACTTGTAGAGTGCAATGAAACCTAAAGCTATTTACCGTCTTTGTCACCAAAACCTTTAATGTCGGAAATTCTGTAAAGGAATAAAAGTTTATGTCACCTAGCGGAAAAGGGGACAGTCGCCAACATCTTGCTCAAACTTTGCAAGAGGTTTAAACCCGTAAAAACGCAGACAGCAAATATAAATTATTTCTACCTGCGGCCAAACGATATACTGGCAGAATACAAGGGCTAATTGGTGTTCTTTAACGACAGCGCCAAGCTAGAGGAATATCTCTACAAAGACCACATCTATATACCAAATATTTAGGGCACTTTCCATTTAATCACGTTGAATGAAAGTAAGAGTTAATCTCACATAAAATTCAAACCTATTCATTTTCACGTCAAGTTTATTTGTAGAAAAAATCGATCAATTTATGCATGTTTTATTTTATTTCAAAATGTAGTGTACTTGATAATTCAAACTGAAATATAAATGATGCCAATTAGCCACGCTGAAGTGTCTTTCGTTGTGGAATGTTTTGTAAACTTTCTTTGTGCTGACATACCATGTTGAACCCGTTATCTCGTCCCCATAGGTAACCCTCCTTGGTGTGAAAACTATGGTCGTATATTTGGAAATCATCTATAGTAGCCATTTTGAATAGGTCAAGGTATTGGATTTCTTCCGCTTTATTTTTATCTTCATCGTTAAAGATTCACAACAAGATTAAAGTTTCTTAAATCAATTACCCATGGCTCGCTTCGGGCCAGCCTATAGAAAAAAAACAATTTGCAAAAGAAGATTGTTTCATAGAGTTGGTATCGTCAAGATTTCTAATCAGCTGGCTATGTGACATCGGATTTCAAACAAGTTGTCTTTTTATATGATCTTAACCCCTGATCTCCGAAAATATATATACAATTGAATGAAAAGCACGGCCCCTTTGCTCGGCGGTGACACCCGTGCCACACTGATGAGCTAGAGAGGTGGTCCGAACAGTACAAATACAATTCTGTTGCCCACAAATATTTTGTAGACCGCCTGTGATGACAAATTTGATTGGATTTATTGAATCTGAAAAATCTTAATCGCCGTGGGTATTGTTTGGGTGTACTTGTCCGGCCGCTCTATCACTAACCCCGGTAAATGTCCCCGTCACGCTACAGTGAACAGCGGTATCAGGAGGCACCGTATGTAGTTAGCCCCACAAATAGACCTGCTTTAGTTTTGAAATTTGTCAGCAATTAGTCAGTCAGATCGAAAACACAAATTGGGTTTGTAGATTGAAAATTTATTCGGGAAGATAGAATTATAATTATTATCATATTTTTGTTATCATAGGTTGCCGTGAATGCCATTGCAATTTTTTGACATTTTTTTGTCAATGTATGACATTGCAAGATATTTGACATTTAGTATATAGGATTTATGACATTGTGCAACTATGTTGTAAGGGTATATGACATAATTTGTTAACATTGTTTTTCAATGTATGACATTGTATGATATTTTACCTTTAATCTTTAGTATATAGGATTTATGACATTGTGTAACTATGTTGTAAGGGTATATGACATTGTGTAACTATGTTGTAAGGGTATATGACATTGGTTGGAATGATATTTTCAACTATATTGCATCGGATGTATGACATTGTATGATAGTTTGACAGAGTATGACATAAAGTTTTAAATTGAATTTTACCGGATGTATGGCATTGTACAACTATACTGTGTCGTATATATGACATTGAAGGCTAATTTACTTTCAAGCTATAGTAAGTGTATGTCAATAAGTCTTGAATTTCATTTCATCGGATGTATGACATTGTAAAGCAGTTTGCGTTAAACTTATATTGTACAAAGTATAACAATTATGAAATAGATTGTTATCTAAGTCGAAGATAGTTTCACTTATCTTAATTAATTGTGTACCATGCAATATTGGTGAAATATTTAAGTAAGAAAATTACTTTTATTAACAAACTCCTTTCCATACATTGCATTGTGACAGTGTCCTAGTTGGAAACTACGTAACATTACGTACAATATCGTATTAGAACTGTATACTTCTGTTTAGATTATCTAAGATTCTCACTTTTGTTTGATTCACTATTTGTACCAAATTTTCCTTCCTCATTTCATTACATATTTTATCACTGCTTTTATGTTAAAAATAATAAAACCTGCAACAAATTCGAAAATGGGTAGTTTCATTGTAAAGATATTAGTTTCGCTTTTCAATACATGTACAAAATGTACTAAAATGCATTATATACGATTGAATATACAAAATTGTCCCTACCGTGTCATCCCCGGCCTCCCACGTGAGATTGACTGTGTCCACCTCGGAAGGGATTGATTGTAGTCCTTTGTCAATCCCTGGGGTCCGGAGATAGTGAGGAAATGTTCCGTCGCTGACAATATAGACCTTCATCCGGAGGCCTGTGGAGGTAAAATATAACATGAAGTTTATCATATCATAATAAATGGTTATATTACAATATGTAATGCAAAGCTACGTCTTAATCAATTAGAAATGGAATATTTGAAAATTATGTATAAATATAAAACAAGCATATGCTGTTTGATGTTGGATAACATGGGTATTGTTCTTAATTATGCATATTTGAAAGGAACACGTTGAAAATGATAATAATTAATCAAGCTAACATGCCAATGCAACCGAATGGAACAAAATAACGAAACATCTGTATATGATTACAACGGTGTAATATTATTGACGTAAATGGGAAACATTGTTATGGTGTTTTCCTTATGAATGAGCATAAATACTGCACTAATGAAAGATATCAAGGTATTTTATGCCCAATATATTTTAGTCTGCAGTGCTTACAGGTCCCTTGTGTACGGGTGCAGTTATCACTTCATTATGAGGAATCCGCCGTCGAGAATGTATGTAATTTACAAACGATTACCTCGAAACTGTACAAATTACCTATGTAATGGTTGTAATTATCACACGTTATTGAAGACTCTCCAAGGCCAGCCTCGCAAAAACGTGTTGACATCGGATACAGACGTTCTGCATAGTTTTTGTTTTCATTGGAGAAAACGGAGTCTGATCTAATGAGAGTTTATTTCTATTAAGTAAAAAACAAAAGATGCCTTGGCACGTGGAAAACTTAATTAAATTTGAATCGTGTAACAGCAACGATAAAAAGACGTACTTTGGCACATCAAAGCTACTACAATAAGGTAGCTGGTCTTATACTGCAGTCTTGGAGGTACGGACTGGCTTTTTGTGTACAAAACATGCCGTGATTCTTAGTTCTCTACAGAATTTCAGGCAGCGATATAGGAGCAGTATTTGACATAGATTCTATGCGGATTTTATCATGAACATATGTAGGATATTTGCTCCTGGACCTGGCATGCTTAACGAAAAAACCGACGGTTTATATTTTAGGATTGTTTTGGAAACGTATAAATATTTACACGTTATAACCGTCAATATTTCTACAGAAACAATTTTTTTTATTATCAAGTAGTATAAATGTTTAGCCATGTTGGATATTTATAAGGTTACGCTAATGGCATGCTTCATGCTGAGGGGCAGTCGTCTGTTACTTGTCAATAGATGTAAAGCCTTAATTATAGACTCTCACGGGCACCTGTTACAGAATTAAGCTGTCCACGACCCATGTAGTTAAAATCATTTGAAGTTATTGTAAACACTGACAAATATAAAATTTCATGTTCGTTTTTATTATTATTATTATTCTTTTTCTCATTATGTAACATGTAGCTGAAAGGTTTTTAAATAACCATTTTATCATAGCGTGTATGAATTTCATAAAACCTGCTTTCATTATTTCTTTTTTATTCCAACATATTTCGGGTTATTGGTGAATTTATAGTAGATTGCAAATCGTTCAACTTGAGTTAACATACAAAGAAGCGGTTTACTAATATAAAAATAATAACTAACATGAAGTATAATAACTAATAAGTGTAATATTTTTATGAACTACATGCAGATCGGAATTATCAGTGTACTGGGTGAGTTTGTTGAGATGTGACTTCCAAGACGTGAGAGACAGAGGCTGACCCTGGCAGGTACAGTGTTAAAGAACCCCGAGACCCAATTCTACCACATCAGTATATGTAGACGGTCTGTGATTATATGATAAAAAGAGCGATTCGACTGAAAATCTTCTACACTTGTAACTTTTATGACCGTTTATCTTCTTTCGCTATGGTTTGTGTAAAATTTATTTTTAAGATGAAACATCGTAACAGAAACTGTGAAAATAAAACAAGTGGTATACACACTGAGCGAGCCAAATGCACATGATAACAATTCCGTGTTGTCGATGTGATGATTCCACCGTGTGTTTTGCCACAGTCAGACCATGTGGTATAAATTTCGTGTGAAGTAGACTTTTTCAAGAGAGTTGCCATTTAAAGTGATGGTAGTATGTGGTCTAAACCATTCTGTTAAAAAAGCACAGAAACAAAACAATGCATGGGTATCGTTACTACTTACCAACTAAGTGCTCGACCTGGTTCTCGTCCATCCAAAGCGAAAGTTTGCTTTTGGCTAGACAACTGGAAAGAAGCAACGGTGCAACGATATAGGCTAGGATCTTGTAGATCATGGTTAGTGTAAGGACGTACCCCTGAGTCATTTAATTGTCTCTATGTTCTTGCGTGGTCCGTCAACAGTGATATATAAGTCTCTAGTTTGTAGTATCGGTGAAGTACCTGCTGTGATATTCCTCTCCTTGAGGCTACTAGTGACAGGCCGCACCGCTGGGATACCATCCACCACACCAAAATAACCAGTATTCATGTTTTTCAACCATTCGTCAAAACAAACCATTAAGTGTTGTGCATATATCTCGTATTGGAGTAATAGGAACAACTATTAGTAGGGTTGGTTCTCCAGTTTTCTGTACCGCCTGCTGCTTTCGACACCAATACTGATACTGACCAGTAGAAACAATCATCACTGACCACCACTCAAATACACTGCATAAAAAGCGATGTCCAGCTTGTCAGCTCCTCATCAAACCCTTGGCAAGGGCGAGGCACGGCGCGGACCGATATAGTCGTGATAAGCCCACAGTAAACACAGGTGATTAGGCTAATACTCTAACACGGACATGAGACCTACCGAGACTGGGGGAGAGAGGCTGCCCAAACTACTACACAAAACTCAGCCAGATTTCCTCCTTCTACTATCACTACTACCAACATCACCACCACCAATTCAACCAGCCTCGATTTGCAGTATTAAAATTGATATATTCATTAAAAGATAAAGCCCTAGTCCTCCAAAGTGGTAACAGAATATACGAGAATCGACTTATTCAACAAGCCGATGTGATGCTCTATCGTGGATACTACACACACATCCTGGACGGGCACAGAGCTACAGGTATGTATTCCCCACCGAGAATTGTCGACAGAAGCTCCCTCAGGATCCGCAGCAGAATGGAACGAATCCCTAAATACACGGCCCTTTTAATTTTTATCACAACAAATACACTCTAATTGGATTTTTTCAACAAATGAAATTCGTCCGCGTCCAAATGGTTGCACATTCATTACACGTATCAAGCGTGTTTTGAAAATATGACGTTTTTACACACGTCTGTGGAATGGTAAACAAGAGAGATGTTCCGTGTGTTGTAGGCGCACACGATCGTCGGTTTTATTGGCTTGTCCTCTTCCACAACTCCACCTATTGCTGTAGAAATATAACTTTTATGGCTTTCAATCTTGCTTAAATGGATTAACATTCGTCAAACGCCGTAAGTGTATGAACATCCACTAGTCAGAAGGCATCAGGGCGCTGTACTCGTCAGATAGCCAAGTCTGCAATGAAATTGACGCACGCATGCTTAATCATGCGATATCTAAACAAGGGGTAGGTGTATTCACGAATCAGGGACCAGGCGATGACGATCCTTCTCTCCTAAATTTCACAAATTAACCCCGGTCGCTTAGAGAGATGTTCGATTATACCGCGGCTATATATGGACATTTAAGAGCTAGTGGTGAGGATTGTTTTTATTTGCAAAACAGTATTGTTGACTTTATTATTGGTTTAATATTGTTAAGCTATATATCGATAAACAGGCAGCATTTTAACACCTACGGTAAAGGTTATCATTGGAGAGGGGTAATAGTCATACTCTTACCACATAAACAGGGTGGGACTCATCATGTACACTGATTTCATTTTCTATATCTTCTTAACGTTAATTTTCCAAGCATACTCACGTATTTCAAATTCACCAGTTGCCCTCTCTGTTGATTTAGATCAGCGTTTACAGCAGTTCTGATTATGTATCAACACATGCTATTATGAAATAAATAAGACAATATACGGTTAGAGTAATGATCGGGTGATCAAGGTACATAGGCGTTGGGCACATAGCACGTTCAGTGGTATCACTGAAATGTCTTATCACTATGTAAGTAATCAGTGCTATCTGTATGTATTGTGATAACTTATCGACACTTATGTATTTATCATTAATACACTACCCAATAGCGTTGCTTTGTTTCAAATAAATTTTCACTTACACAAGTATCTGTTTCATATTTGTACAACAAATTATCTGCAGATGCATACACATAAAATTGTAAGTATGCACGATCGAAAAGATATTTATGACAGAATAAATAAATCCTGTCATAGCTCAAGTCAATAGAAATGCATGCAGTATCACTACAACTGGGTATTAACTTCTAAAGAATTACATAACTTTCAGGTTTGAATTTTTTTATTTACAGTGGTTTATGAAAAAAACACAAGACTCTTACAAAACCTTTATCATATATAAGTTCTCAGCCCCTGTTCATGTTTTAGTGTTTAGATTTCTATGAAGGTAAGGTATTTACTGCTGAACATTGTTATACATACACACACTCTACGTGTATGAGAGCAATCAAATAGGATGCCCACACCTTTCAATCGAAATCATAAATATGGTTTCTTTTCATGTTCCATTGTACAGTTTATATATATATTCTGTTATGTAACCCCATTTTGTCACATAGGTAACGTACAATATCTCAGTTTGTTTTCAAATCATAAGCGCTTACTTCCTTAAAACTCAATTTCTGACAGTGTTGAGTTAAAAGAAAAAGAAACAATAGTATCATTTTTTTACATAATTGTTTTATTTTAAATTATGTCTTATATTTAATAATAAACATATTTTATTGTAAATATTTTTGGAAATATTCCGGGTAAAAGAGCCAATTATATATTCTTAACATGTTCACGCACCTTTATTTATTTTCAATGCTTCGATAGTTCTAACTAATACATATCATTACTGTTCGTTTCTAAAGCCTGGTAGTGTTGATTGCTGTATAATTTTTATTCTAGATCTACAGGCCCTCTAGATTGAGCCGCTGGTCTCAGATGGTATAACCATTCTAATTTAATATCTGAGCGCGTATAAAGAAGTAATGGACACAACAGCCATTGACAGCCATGTTTGAAAAGGTTGCGTAAAGTGTAAAAACACATGGCTTTGTGATAAGGTAGTAAACATATGTGTTTATACAGCATTTATTTTGAATTAGTGAAACCTACCAAGGATTGTAGGAACTTTATTGACTGACGAGGCGGTATCATTGATATATGTATATACATATAGTACACGTTTCTTTTATAATGATCAAAATAGAGTTAAAATAGAAAAAAAACCATGTAGACATTATTACGTCATACATTAATCGTACACTCAAAACTTGTTTTCAAAGATAGGATGATGAAGACTGTAGAATTACAGCCTATGGTGTGGAGACACATACTTCGTGTAAATATGACACTTTTTACTTCAATGCTACAGCTTACATCCTCGTTGTTTTTGCATGAGTATTAAATTTTAAATATTTGCAGTAAAATAATAAAACACAAAATTCACTACCCTGAAACATATTGTCGTCGATAACATAGCAAATATGATTTGGTAATGACTGCGATTACCGTGACATGCTTTACTCACTAACATATTCTGCTAACTTAAAGCTTCGATTTTAAACGCAATTTTCATGTCGTAAAACACACGTATCAAATTTTAATAATCTATCAATTATTTATATTGATGAAATTAACATGATTATGCTGATCGAAAGAAATAGTTTAGTGAATTGAGATTTAATATCTTTATGTAATATGTATTTAAAGATAAGTTTAAATACTTTGAACATAATGTAAATCAGTGCACATCATTGTTATCGTTAAGGATGGTGTCAGCATTAACGATCAACAATAACTACGTTATTAATATGATTATCTTTCAAAGATCCAAACAATTGTTGTGTGCTTGTTTGTCCTATCTGAAAACCTACAGCGCTGATCACCACCAAAGATCTTAACTACAGCATTCATTCTTTGAGATGTGGTATCGAATTCTGAATCTTAATTTTACTTGAACATTGTTTCATTTGACGAAATTCGAGACATCCACTAGTATTCAAAATACAAAGGAAATATTCCTTAACAATAATGGCAGGGCTAGGGGCCCTGAAACAACAAGTGTTATGAAGAAGTTGATATCGAGCCTGAATCATGTTCGAACGGCAGACGTATAGTGATGCGCTCGAAGATTGCAGAGGCCGGCTTGTAAGTATACACACGGTTAAGTCAAGAACGATCCGCAAAGGAAGGGCGATGGAAAAAAACAACACAAAGGCGTGTTTACGATTCACCGAGTGCTTCAACGAAAAACATATATGGGTCATGGGAAAAGGGTGGTAGGTCGCACTGGAACAATTTTCTATTTTGTTAAGCAGATGAATTTAAACAATTAAGAATAGATATGGATTAATTGTCAAATTTGTCAATCAAAATAACGTCTGTGACCAGTAACAAATCAATTAGTACATTGTAACGAAAGATTCCGACTGTCATGTAAGACCTTTGGTCAGTATTTTTTCTTGGGTTTTCTATTCGCTCAATTAAACATTTTGACATGTCATTGACATGACACAATCTCATGCGATGTATATAGGACACACAATAAAATTATCTCGTTCACACCAACACACGTCATTCCTGACTAAGATGGTGATAAATCAGAAATATATGCAAATCCGTCTTTGTTATTGTTTTCAAAGACAAACTGGGCTATATAGTTAACACTTCGATAAAAAAATAAAACTAGTTAAACAAACATAGAATTGTGAAGTTAAGTGAACATTTTACGTTAGAGAAATATTATATTTTCTGTCCCTGTCCTGATGAATGGACGAGGTCTGTGTCAGTTTACCCACCACCGTACGCTCAGTTATCTAGATTTCGCGTTCCACGGGGAGTCTCTGACCCAAGGATTGACCCCTTAATATGCTTCATCAACCAGAAAACAGGCATAAACGACCGTGAATTGTATGCAATTTTCAGTCGGCTCTCAGCACGCCTGTTCTTTATAGCTGCGACTACCATCGACCATATTTACACAATTGCCTACAGATTTGTTGATGGTTTGGTCGTGAACGGATCACAAGTATATAAACAACACACTCTGTGTAAATCTGGATTTTATTATCTATTGTTTATAAGGTGTTTCGCCAACATCAAGTGCAGTTTGTCAAGTAGACGGTTTTATCTTCACACGGCATTACATTGATAAAGTAGTTAATACCAACCATGGGCATCAGTTACAGACATGCTTTCCATGGCTATTTCCAAGGCATTCAATATGCACAGTAGGCATAGGGCATATAGGAATTTACATATGATGGCGACATACCAACTGATGGTACACATGTATCATAATTCCATGTATGCAAGTTCGTTTGAGACTGATAGGAAGAGTGAACCTCGACATACTAGATACAGAGAATCGTGTAGGCTACTTTAAAGGAGTCTCAATTATATCTTAATGGTTTGACTTAACCTTCACACTCTCAATTATACGACATGACTGTGATTTTTAAGATTTGATTAATTTGAATTAAAACGGGTATTTTGCTTTTCTAAAATAATATTTTTATCAATATTTTGACAGTAATAATGTGATATTTATATGATAAATGTTTTTTTTCTAATATAATGATTTGTATTTCTAAGATAGCACTCTAGCATGTTTATGTCCACAGTTGCTCTCTCTCGTGAAAATTGAAGACTTTTATTAAGGCAAATAGAGTTATATCTTCACCAATATTTTTATTTATACCATTTTTCTGTCATATGACATATATAACTTTTAAGAAAATATAAAGAAATCATACACATATAAAATATAGCAGAAAAGCAAAAGTAAGTTAATAAGACAACGATGTAATTTGATTTGAATTTTTAATGCAAACATGGGCGTTTGCCTCAACACAATAAGATGTAGTTATTTAATTTTACACTGTAATAATTAAAACCTCACGAAAGAAATATGATAATCATATCGTTTTAAATATTAATTAACATCAAAATAACTGTCATATCAGCGTCATCAAATTTCATCGCCAGGTCCCATGCAGAATATGTTCCCCCTATCATAGTTTATGGCATAAACAGTCCAGGAATTTTACAGATGTCATATAATATAATTTTAATGTTTGAGGCTAATCTATAGAAAAAATCCTATTCGATTTTGAAAAATCTTAGATGAGTAGGTTTAAGACATTGTTTAGAATATGCAAAATAGGTAAATCTTGACATGAGCCACATGGAACAGATGCGCATAAAACAGAACATTATCAAGTTTATTTGTAATCTCACGTCCTTGTCTCCGGGTATTTATTGGATTTGTTTTAAGTAAAACATATTGATAGTAAGATTTTGTGATAAACTTTGACATTAGAAATATTTGATCTAACAAATAAGATATATAACAATTATTATCATTCTCATATTTTTTTTTTTTTTTTTTTTTTTTTTTTTTTTTTTTATTTTTTTTTTTTTTTTTTTTTTATATATTTTTTTATTCCGGAAATGAAATCTATTTTGTGGAAAAGCACACTGCTACTATGAACGATAAATCACAGAAGCAGATATTATCAATATAATGTATTTTTGTACAACATTTTGGTAGAGTAACCGATCTAGTTCGATATTCTTATTAATGAATTTGAGTTTACAGACGGGCTTTTAAAGGCTAGAGCTAAGATATTAGCCAGATTGCTTTAATTTCATACTAAGATACATTAATACTTTATTTTTGAATTAAATAATTTCCAGAACAAACTAGCTTTCACATAATCCTTCACCTGCTACATGTCTTGATATATGTCTAACCCTAGCTCCCCCACCATCCAACGCTGACAAACGTTATTCCACGATCGTTTACTTCCTTTTTCCTCAGTATCAACATACCAAGCACTCCTGTGTACACGTCACAATTTATTCGCTCTTCCAGACTAATCTGTTTTAATTGGATCCTTTTGACCAACAAACTACAACGAGCCAGTGTTTCCTACCGGGGATGTTATACTCTACTCTGTGTCTGTGATAGTCAACGACCTATATACATTGTACTTTACTTTAGTTGACGTCAAAAATCATGACTGGAGCCATACATGATAATCTATAATTAAGCTTACCCTTTTCAAACTCTTGATGCTGTCTCATTTTTGTGGTTTCATGTTATCTTTTTATATTGTTCAAATATTGCCTGGGTTCCTAAAGTTGACGCCGTGACATATTTTATTCAATTTTACTCTCGAACGATTTGTACAAAGTTGAACACATATTAATATTACAGTAACACTAAACAGAAATTATATTTAAGTAAATGATAACAAAAAGTATGCAAAAAAAACAACCGACGATGAAGGTGAAAGGCAAGAAAATTTAATATGCATTCAAAATGAAGCTGAACAGGAAGGCGTTGGCGGGTACAACTTAAACATGATTATACTTCAGTATTTGTTTTGAATCATTTTCTTAAATACAAAATGAGTGTTTCCAGCACATGCATAAGTGACTATCTGTTTTACACAGAAGCGTGACGGGGCAGTAACATATGTACATAATGCATTTAAGTCGAAATCTATGCAAATAACTTTTATGAAGATTGATCTGCCATGCAGACGTAAAATCATCAGGTTGGTATGATTCCTTGCTGGAAGTGATTTAATTGGGGCGGGACCAGATAGTGTAGTACAGCAGCTTTTAAATGTTATACTGTTTCCATTTTGATCACATGACGAATGACTCTACGGTTTAACCATTAAAAGTGATCGCATATATAAATTTCGTTTGCAATTACATGTTTAAATTTTAAAAATACAATGTAAAAAATATTAACATATAAATGTCATATTTAATTATAAATGTAAATTCATATTTCATAAATGTAATCTATAATCAATCAATGTGTTTTTATTTTATATATCAATATATTCTTATATTTGCTGGATTAGGGACAGGAATAAAGAAACAATTAAAAAGATGCATATAAACTGATATATTGCAAAAATGCGAACAAAGTGATAATAAAATAAATATAACAACATGTTAGATATGATGACATGTCAAATATGACAAAAACAATCTTAGTGATATATTACAATTTGAGATATCATCGTGATTGTATGCTATTTTATTAATTATTAAACATCATTTGTATACAGAAAAACGCTTTAACACTCAACAGCAATGCTTGGATTTGACCGACATACGTTTAATGATAAACGTCTTATAGATATAAAACATAAATCCAAATCAGTATTTTAAACCTCGTATACCTTGAATAATGTATGCAGGGAATGCAGTGATAGAGCGTTTGTGTTGGTCGCTAGTACATAAACAGGTATTATAAGCTGATATTTTATACAACAGACATGTCTCCCTTACGTTCTTAGCGTTACTGGTGTATAGGGAGGGGATACACAGCATGAGAAAACTCAAGTATTGTCAATGCAAGGGCACGTTCCTGTTTGTGTTTATCCCTGTCATATTAAAGGATCAGGCAATATTGTAGCGGACTTTGGTGAAGAGGTCCTTTAAAGAATTCGGATCAAAGCAAACGATAGCAATGTGTAGTTACCGATGCATGCAGTAACCTATTTCAAGTTTTCTCTGTGTGCAAATCTCCTCAATGCAGAAAAATGAAATTATAAAAATACACAAAGAATACAACTCTATCAATATTTTACGCATGTGGCAAATATTACAGGTGTACAATGATTTGAACGTTTGATGAGCATATTCTATATACACATCATATTATTGATATAAAACATTAAAATAAAAACGAATACAAAAGCGTCAACTAAGCCGTAATTGACTTTTATTGAACTAGGACAAAAATGAAGAAAAAATATTAACGGAGAACTTCGATCTATAAACAAATACATGAACCAGGTGTTCCGGAAGGGTAAGCGTTTCTGATTTATCGGCGATAACTGTTATAATAGTATATGTCATATCAATGTCACTATCCTGAAGCAAGACATAGTGGTGTCAGCCATTCTGTTACCACTAGCTCTCCACCACTTGGTCGCGGGTTCGAAGACTACGTGGGGCAGTCGCCAGGTACTTGTCGCAGGTCGATGGAACTCCGGCTTTCCTCCACCATCAAAACTTGGCACGTCCTTAAATGATCCTAGCTGTTATTAGGACGTAAAACACAAACAAACCAAACAATCAAAACAAGAACCGGGGTAATCACAACGAAATAATGGAAAATCGTCGATATTCATATTACTAAAAGAAGGTTTTTTTTCATTCAGATAACGATGGTGACCATAAAACTTGTCCAAAGTCTGCATCAAACTGGATCTCTCTCGTCTCATAAGTATATATCGTCAATTAGTAATGACAGTTATACGTACAAGGTGTCCGATAGCAGTAAGTTATTACGGGAACAATAGCTAACGTTCACAATAATCTGCTGACACTCCTCGTCATATCAAGTACTAGAAATATATACTGACGTCAGGAAGATATTAAAAAAAACCCAAGATATTTAAAAACTGTTAGTACTACTAAACCTGTCATTAAATAAATTGACTGTTACCAAAATCTCAGGGCGCTTTTAAAATAAAGATAGTAAAACAGTGAGAGGAGTAACGTCAGGTAGTCGCTCGTAAGCTAGAGGTCTAAAGACAATAACAAGAACAAATGATCCCTATATCAGTAGCAATCTCAATTAGCAGTTTGTTTTACGGTTACGAACAGATGAAAACGACAATCGATAATGTTAGCATAAAAAAGAACGCAAAATAACACAAAACCATCAATGAGATGGGACCAAAATAAAAGGGAAGGCCGCATAAACCGTTTCGGAAAACAAGGTGCGAAACAATGTGTCAGGGAAGTATATCTTGTCTTACATGACATGTCGCACGTGTGATGAAATCCCTTGTTAAATCAAGAAAAGTATTTCACGAGTAATCTAACAAAAAAGGGAATAAGTCTTGAAGCATGGCAGATACGGAAATATTGTCCGTGGAAACCAGAGCGTAGATGTGTAACATGTTTGTGTGTGTACCCACGTATGTTTGTGTGTCTGGGAATCACTGATGTTATCATCATCAGCGAGGGATGAGTAGTACAAGAAGGCATTAACCTTTCCCCGTAATTCTATCTTTCCTCGTTGACTAATACGTGCAGTCTGATGATACATTTTCTGAAACCAGGTGCGGTTGTTAGATCTTGATCAGATGTAATTATGTGTTTTCGAATCTTATCTCAATAAATGGCAGGCCTTCATTAAAAGTCGAACCTAAAATAACTTTAAGTTAACTGATACTCGATAGACATTGGGTCAAAGGACCATAAGTTTAATATCAAATCTGTCTTCAGTAAAGTCGAATTGGGGATTATTCGACGGAGGAAGAGACGAAAATGTTCATAATAAAATAACTTTTAAAATGTTATTATGGTTTAAGAACGAACGCGATCATTCTTAAAAGTCACCAGTATTTTACAAGCAATCATTGATTAAGACAAGTAAAGAAATCAATTGGCTGTTCATAAAATCATGATTCGTTAAATGACATGTTTTATCTATTTTATTAGTAAAGAATATCTAAATGTTCAGAAATATCTTTGAAATAAAACCAAAAACTCAAAATACAAAGCACAGACAAATATATAACAGATTTGTATACTTTGGACCTGAGCATGTTCCTGTTTTAATTTTGTCAATAATTTTCATAACATAGGCCCTGACTTGTTTCTTACCATCGTATAGTTTTGTAAACAATAGCGACTTTCGGAAGGTATCTCTCATACTGTTTTGATTATATTTTATTTTGACATAAAACAGGAAAATCGAAAGTTTTATCGGAAGTTGTCCCGAAAAAGACCATATTTTTACACGTATAAATATCCTGTTCTGAGACCAAATACATAATGTCCACTTCTCCAAGTGTGGAGCAGCACGCAAACCAGCACACCGCTGTCCAGACGCGTATGTACCTCCTTGACCTCTCAGCCGATCCCGATTCTCTGTGAACGAACATATATATCGCCGAGGAAGACCGTTGCTCTAGCATTGTACCCACACTATGGTCCTGATGCTGCATGTAATGGCAAATTAGGAAAAATAGAGCAAGGCATAAAAGCTACTCAATTTGAAATGATTTATTTTTTGGCTTTGTAGCTTATAATTATTTTCATTAATAATGTGCTTATGCAAGATGAAATAGAAAGTAGAATAACGTTATTAGTCAACAAACAAAGAAATAGTCAAAATCAACGTAACCACGGACTAATTATTCATGAGGTTAATGTGAATCAACAACCACTAATGAATGCGTATGAAGCGTTACGGTTTTATAACCATCAAAACTATCGAATTAAAAAAGAAATAGGTAAAAAATAAGTACATACGTAATTCTTTTCATATGGTTAATAGGAGGCTTACAAACGATGGGATGGTTTTGAAAAAAGACTTTTTCTTTAATTAAAAAAAAAAGAGTTGGTTTAACATATGCCTAACATGTATGTGTATGTCGATTATATTAACCTTCTAATTATAATAAATTTATTACAATCCTCATTAAAAGCCGTCTGGGGTTTCAGTCCATTTCTTTGACCAGTTGTTGATTTCTTCAAAATTCCTTGCTGGTTTAGGCAACTATTGATCAAACAGAACAAGATGTGTCACTTATTATAAGTTTGAAAAACAAACGATTTGATTAAAACATCATTGTTGGAAGGAACAATTAGCTTTTTATCACATTTGTTGGATACGATGTTCATTTACAGTTTTACAATATTCATCGCGATACTCTCGTTTATAAATATATCAGGTTCGTTCACATGTATACAAACAAGTTAATTTGCTTTAATCTAATCGAATATTGCTCTTTGAAATATGCATGTATGTGTCATCGCTTATTATAATTATAAAAATACGTACATGTACCGAGGAAATCTCCATTTTCCTTGTCGGACCTATCAAAATATCAAATTTAACTACAATCGGCAGAAGGCAGAAGGGAGGTAACTCCAACATAATTATGCTTGTAAACCCAACACTGTTACTGCATACCAAATAATAAAAGTTGCCCTTCAGATAATATGCAAGTCCGACCCGACTCTTACCTAAACAGTACTTTGAACGGAAGAGAATGGGCGACATTGAATATATATATAACTTTATTTATTTTACAACAATTATGAAACAAGTTTTTTCAAATCATATTAATAACTCTTGTTGGCACAGATGTTAGCGCGCGGGTGTTCTAAATTTGTGAGGAAACCGGAGTTCCTGGAGAAAACCCATGTGGTCGGGCAGATGCCCCCATACCTGTTTACGTCCGATCGGGGAATCGAACCCCGGTCGCCTTGGTGAAAGGCAAGAGCGCTATCCACTGCGCCACCCGACCACTTATTATAACGATTTTGCATATAATATACATGTTGTATTTCTACTGCTTTGTTGATTAGTCATTGCTTATAATAACGAAAATGCATATAGACAATGAATCAAATTATAACCTCATCGCCACTATCGTCTTGTCTGACGGTCTTACATCCACACCGGTCCTTTATATAAATAACGCCTTTATTTGAACATGGTTGCAAACTTTTTACCGTTTGAATATGGAGGTGGTTGTTTGTTCGTCAGGAAAGTGTTAGTTTTCTCTTCAACCGAAACGCGAGAAGTTGTATTTACCAAACTGAAATACAACGTTTATTTCAGTTATATCCAATGTAAATAAAAAGAGAAACGATAGTACGAACAAACTCTAAAAAGGTACATAATTATACACATGTCAAAACATGAAATTCCTCTAAAATAAGAAGAAAAAATCAAACAAATAAACAAATAAATATACCAATCGGCTGTTGTCTTGACAACATGTCCTGTTGAAGTACATCCACTGTTCCTCCTGCCAAGTAATTTAACTTCTTTTGCCACAACTACCACGTCGGCCTTAGTCGGGCCAACACATCATGGTCAAAGGATTATGTCACAACAATAGCAACTATCCTATCAGGTTTTAAAATATATTGTATTTTCGTCGACAAATCAAAATAACGATGTCTGTTATGAAAAGACAATGCAATATTTCCGTTGAATATTTAAATAACACTCTTGCATCCGGTTAAGAAAAATCTTAAAAAATCCCTGTTCCAGTGAAATTTCTTAAAGCATTGTATATAGTTAATTTTGTCTTCTTATATATTACGTTCTGTTTTCCAACTCACTTCCGACAGAAGACGACCCATTTGTCAATATCAATAAGTTAAAACAATCCTTATAGGCCAATACAGAATAACGGTCAAATCTAGATACAACGTTAGTCGAAAAAGTTGTGACCAGAGACCAGTTATTCCAGTCCGTTTAACTTAACGCGTCATTAACAGAAACTTTCAAAATGCAAAAATTAAAGAAATATTTTGAAATTTCCAACTGTTTTCAAGTATGATCTGAAAATCTGTACATTCAGCTTATAATATTACTGTCAAAATGCAACATGCAAGACAACGTCATTGGAACTAACCATTAATCCCTGATGTAATAATAAAGGTGATCAGATTTTGGACAATTGAGTCTAAGATGTGCTCGATTTATGAGACTTAAAACACTAAGCAATAAACCATTTCCGGCCAAAATTAACCTTCAAGATAAACAAGATAATCGTGATATCAGTGTTTATAAAGAATATACTAAATCTACCTATATGTCGACATTTTAAAGAGCTTACCTTTTTGATTTGATGCATCTGTTAATCATTGCTATGACGAGGACGAGAAAAAACACGCCTACTAGAACACATACGGTTGTCACTCCGATACCGGTACTGGTCTGGACCCAGGGAGTTACGTCATCATCACTGGATGTCGCGTAAACGACCTTTTTGATATGGAAGGGGAGCCAGGATGTTCCTGGAAAGGTGGCTCATGATTAATTTTAAATCAACGTGATTTCAAACAAAGACTAATATTACAAAAATCACTGTAAACCGGTAATTACATTAGTGCAGTATACTTGGTATGCCTTAAATGTATTTATATTAAGATTAAAATCACATGCTAATGTCTAGCTTCCAGGAGCGTGCATAGGTAACTAATGACTTACTGATAAGTAAATTGAATTCTAATTTGTCCCTGCCAAGACCTTTACTTCCAAGATACTATTCTGAACTTCAAAATACTATGCTTGACTCCGTGCGCCATACAACAGTTACGTCTAAGCTCGTTCCTTGCAGGACAAAACTTTTGGTAACATTCAAAATAAATTTAGGGAACAGTTCTGTTATAGTCTTGTCTGGGGACGAAGATGGTTCGAACACTGTTGTTCCAGATAACACTGTAACAGAGCTGTTTCTCTGGACAGGTACATAATAGAAGAAAAGAGCAGTATGATTTCTTTTGAAAATGAACCCGCTCGATTCGTTCTATACCTAAACACAATTCAGGCAATATCTTTTGTGAAGAAACGAATGCCCTTTTTGACAGTCTTTAGACATGGAGACAGAGAGAGACTAATGCGATTTTTATCATTAATTTATTCTTTACCGATGACTGTATGACTTAAAACATTCATTAGTGACTCCTCGCCTGGACTACGACAATGCCACCCAGTTCGGTATGTTTGAAGCAATGACTCGCTGTGTTAAGAACACGGCAGCTAGTCACCTGTGTTTGGAAGAATACACCACAGTAGTGCTACATGTACTGTGTTTATTATCCACACGATACATATCTTTAAAAGAAATGTTGATGAATGTTTCGTATGTATTTTTGCCACAAGAAATCGGGGTTTGAAGCTACGCTGAATGAACCAAAAATCGCGCACCACAAAATTCGAATTCTGAAAGGCTGCCTCTTTGTCAAGTACGCCTGTTATAAGAAAAGTCGAAGCTTTTTAAATTTTCTTTTATGAACCATGTTTTCTAATAGTGCATCGATATGATCGAATATTAGGGGCCGTCAGTTTGGATAATCAGATTCATGTTTTAACCAACTCATGCCTTTCAAGTTAAACAGGCCTTAAGTTCTTTTTATATTAGTTTGATATAATATGACATTATGACGTTGAAATAGTTAAGCGCAGAAATCCATAACAACTAAAGATGAACGTCAC